TTCCTCTTAAAGAAATATTCTTATTTGGAAATTACTTATTAAGGTTTTTCCGTATATATCCAGATTAAATATTTTTTTGTATTTATCCATATAATGTTTAAAAGATTTAAAAAGGTGGTGAATTTATCATCGTTGAAAAAAAAATCAAAATATCAAATTGCAAATTAACAAAAATATCAAAGAAAAAAAAATATCAATTTATCGAAATTATTAAAATGAATTCACAACAAGTAAATACTAAATTACATAAAGTAATAATTTGCTATCCTAACGACAATCTAAAATTAATGATTGATGAAAAAAAAATGAAAATTTTCAAAAAAATAATCAATAAACTTTTTAATAAAAAATCTAATACTTTTAATTCTGATGATTCTTGGGACCAATCACCTTATTCGACTAGTAATAAAAAAAACTCTTGGTATTCCTTATTACTTGTCGAAGAAGAAAATCAATCATTTGAAATTGAAATATTTAAAATAGTATATTCACAAAAATATATTGTATTTACAGAATATAAAAAATTTAAAGAATATTTAATTAAAGAACAAATAATTAGTAATTCTTTAAAAAACTATGAAAATATTAAAAATAAAAGACTTCAAAATATACTATCATTTCTTGAAGCACATATCCGTAGTTATTTTTATATCTTTAACAAAGGATATAAATATGCTTTAATGAATAATACTCAAGATTTAAATACGTGGAGAGTAAATGGATATCAAAAAGATTTTGAATTTTGGTTTAATATTATCAATAATGAATGTAAAAAATTTGAAATAAAATATTTATTTAGTTATGATGATTTGGAAAAATACAATAATGAATATTTAGCGTTTTAATTTTTTTTATTTATTAATTGTTTATATTTATAATTATTTATTTATTTGTATATTTATCAATTTGTAATAAAATTTATCAAATACGTATTGTTTATCATTTATTATCATCATATAATTTTTAAATTTTTAGTAATGATCATCTTAAATTTATCTATCATATCTATAAAAGCTTATCAAATGCATAATGTTTATCAATGTTATATTTTTACATTTTATAAATTAAATATTTATTTGTTTTATGTATATCTATAATTATTAATTATATAAACATATAAATAAACTTAAAAT